GCAGAGGCTTGTCAATAACATTTTACGTGAATGGTATAATTCAAATTTGGTCAAATCAGCCAAATTTTAAATTCAACCAAATTAACTACGGTGTTAACATCAAATTCATTTATACTTTACATTATATTTGTAATTCTTCATACCAAATACATAATTTTCTTAAACCCCGTCAAAAGAATTTCAGTACACCATAAATTCACTCAACCAAACAATCCATAAAAGACAAGACTAAGGAGCTACTTGGGATCACCTTTGATTTTTATTTTTATTTTTTATTTTTATTTTGCTTTGTTTATGTTTTGATTAAAACAAAATGTGTTGTATGATATAATATATTTAATTGTTTTTAAAAATTACTCAAAGTAATTTTTGATGATTTGAGTGTTTTTAAAACAAGAAAATTTGTTTTAAAAATTAAAAAAAAACATGCAAAAAATGTACTGAATAAACATATTTTTAAAATACAAGGAAAAACAAAAATTAAAAATAATAGTGATCCCAAACAAGCTCTTAGAAAATAGGTAGCCATTTGCTTGAATTGAATTGTTGGCTTTTGGAAACAACACTCAATCACAAGAATTGAACTATTATGGATTTCTCTGGTAGTATTTCACTGCTTCGGACTAGATCTGCACAAGCGGGCACCCCAAACTACCACAAAACTCTCTTCTGTTGCTGAAAAACTGTAGAATGAGGGACTGGGAAACAACCGAAAGGCAAAAGGACCTTGGCAACTATTCATGGAGATATCTTTCACTCTACTATAGACTAGGGAGTCCCCTCTAAACTTTCTCGGGATAAACTAAACTTTAACTATCCGAAAAACTCCTCACATAAGGCATGAGCATCTATAAGAAAAGTGTTATTAAATTTTAGGTCAGCTAATTGCTAAACCACTCTTAATAAGATAAAAGAAAAAAAGAGAACTAGGAGAAAATAAAAAGGGTTCTCCCTTAACCAATCGTGACAGAAATAGTAATTGGATCAACCTTAATATATATTTTTCAAGTTTGGTTCCTATTGGATTGTCATGTCATGTTATTGATACCCTAATTCACGCTTGCACTGCTCGCCGATGTGAATGACTCTTGGTTGTATGCTTTTACACACTTGCAGGTTGTTGCTCTTTCTTGAATAGAAAGAGCACCAAACACATTCGCCCACCCGTGTCTACCAACATTATAGCACCATGGGGTGTAATAAAAGACCTGACACGCCAAATCGACTCGTAAAATCTATGTTCGGGTTGACCCAAATAATTTTCTGGTTGGGTTTGGGATCCTAACCTGTTTAATTTTTTGGGTTAGGTTTGGGTTGACCCGTCAATCTGAAATCAACCCGTCAATCTGAAATCAACCCGTCAATCTAAAATGGACAAGAAATCTATACAAATTTGACTCAAAATTAACCCAAATAGCTGTTATATATCATGTCAAATGGGTTATGCGGGTCCAATTCGGGCCTGCCGGCTTAAGGCGAGTCAATTTTGGGTTGAATTTTTTGACCCGTGTATTAATCGGGTCATGTGATTTTTGGTTGGGTCAACTTTGGGGCAGACCTGAACTCTGGCCATGAACCTGTTTTGATACCCATAATAGCACCTACTCATTGTTGCTTTAGTTATCACATTCATTGCCGCACCTGCTTGCTCTAGTTTCTACTATTCTCATTTTTGCTTACCATACAAAATGTATGACCTTTCTCATTGACTTTTCTCATTGATTGGTGCAACTTTTTTTTTGCATCTGAACCTTAATCATTTTCATTCAATGATCTAATATTCTTTTTTCCACTCTTTATTTATCAACACATAATATCTTGGTCTGTGCATCATAA